CTCTTTCTCTCTCTCTCTCTCTCTCTCTCTCTCTCTCTCTCTCTCTCTAAGTTAAAAAGCATCTCAGGTTGCAGCTTAATTTCTGTAAAACTTTTGCAAAACCCGACGGGAAGATCTGTAAACCATGCATTTCAAAGCAAATCTTTTACTTTGAAAATTATCCAAGTTGAAAACCACTAAATCTAAAAAAGTTAAATTGCATGCGAGTAAATGGCTCACTAGTGCTCGGCCCAGACCTTGGCAAGCTGAGGTTGACTGCTCTTGTCGCATGATTGTCCCATAGGCGTGTCAGCTGGTGTGGAAGGAAGGGTGTCGCCCTGGAGACTTTCTCTAGCACCCCTCCAGCCAGGTCCTTCTCTCCTATTTCACTGCTAACTCATCACACTTCTGGTGGCAGAAACTCTGGGGTAAAAAACTCTTTCCCCCATCCTGTCCTAGGTTACATATCAGCTCCAGAACACACAGGCTTCTCAGGTTTCGACCTGACCTGAGAAACCAATAGCTTGGGGAGCAGTCCCCTGGGAGGGGACAGATGTGCGCCTTCGCCGCGGGGTTCCAGGAGAGGCAGGAAGTACGCTAAGAAAGGTGACACTTCCCGTGTCATGCACAGTCGAGCTGAAAAGAGAACCTCAATAGGAGCTGATTCAGTCATCTCTCCTGGTCCATGAGAAGGCCAGCTTCCGGAAATACGCGGACTGTGACAGCGCCGAGACCGGCTAGGCTGCTTCCCATCACCCCACACCGAGCGAGTGCAACCGAAATATTTATGTGCCTCAACCTAATTAATAACACACTCCAGAAGCTGCACAGGGACCCCATCGTGTCCTAGGTTAGATACCAGGCCGAATTCTTCATCCTGGGAGCCATAGGGAGTGGCTGCAGACCCCAAAGCAAGGGAAGTGGTTGCAAGCACTGCCCTTGGACTTGGAGTTGAGATTGAATTTCAGGCTAGATTCATTTTTTTCCCCCGGGCATTTGATTCCCTCTCTGTAAACACCATTAAGTCATCTGTTTAAAAACAAACAGAACTCCCTTCTCTAGCTCAAATCCACTTTGTAGTGTGATAAAGATTTTTTTCTTTTAAAAATATTTTTTTAATTTTAATTCAAAAGGCAGATCTACAGAGAGGAGGGACAAACATAAAGATTTTCCATCCACTGGTTCACTTCCCACGTGGCTACAATGGCTGGAGCTGAGCCAATCCGAAGCCAGGAGCCAGGAGCTTCTTCTGGGTCTCCCACACAGATGTGGGAGATCATTTTTATGAAGTGTAGCAACAATCTGTAAAGCCTTGAAAGATGCTGATCCCTCTGTTGAAGTAACACTCGGCAGAGACAAGTTTTTGGAAACAAAACAAAAAATGAGTTGATACCAGTTACAAACATACAAGCAATGCTCCATCTTGCATAAGAGAAGCAAAACTCCCAACTAGGACTGTAATTTAAACCTTGTCCAACTAGATTATGCAACCTAGTTTGATAATGTGGAGTGGTAGTGTAAGGAACAGAGGCCGCGAAAACTGACTCCTGACCCCAACATCCTGGACTCTGTGCCTCAAATGGCTGTTTGCCCAGCACTACCGTAAACCCCATAGGTCTAGGCCCCCTTAAGGGCCACTTTTGTCTAAGTAAGCTGAGCCTGAGCTGAGCTGACCCGAAGCCAGGAGCCAAGACTTCTGGCTCTTCTGGGCCTTGCACACAGGTGCAAGCAGAGAGCTGAAAGGGAAATGGAACAGCTGGGCCCACATGGGATTCTGGTGAATGAAAAGGAGGATTAACCACTAGGCTACTGCACCAGACCCAACACATATATATATAATATATAAATTTTTTAGGTTTGTTTATTTTTATTGGAAAGCCAGATATACAGAGAGGAGGAGAGACAGAGAGGAAGATCTTCTGTCTGTTGATTCACTTCTCAATTGGTCGCTCCTGGGCCGATCTGAAGCTAGGAGCCTGCAGCCTCTTCTGGGTCTCTCATGCAGGTGTAAAATCCCAAGGCTTTGGGCTGTCCTTGACTGCTTTCCCAGGTCACAATCAGAGAGCTGGATGGGAAATGGGGCCGCCGGGATTAGAACCAGCACCCATATGGGATCCTGGTGCATTCAAGGCAAGGACTTTAGCCACTAGGCCACAGTGCCAGGCCCCACACTTTAAAATTATTATTAACCGCTTTAACAACTAAAGCTTTCATATAATATGGTTGTTGGCAGGCCCTGTATGGTAACCTAGTGGCTAAAGTGCTCAACGTACATACGCTAGGATCCCGTATGGTCGCTGGTTCTAATCCCAACAGCCCTGCTTCCCATCCAGCTCCACGCTTGTGGCCTGAGAACGCAGTGGAGGACGGCTCAAAGCCTTGAGATCCTGCACCTGTGTGGGAAACCTGGAAGAGCTCCTGGCTCCTGGCTTCGGATTGGCATAGCACCAGCCGTTTCAGTCACTTGGGGAGTGAACCATTGGACGGAAGATCTTCCTGTCTCTCCTCCTCTCTATATATCTGACTTTGCGATAAAAATACATAAATCCTTAAACAGACAAGAAATGTGGAAAAAATGGTTTTGCAAGCTGCAGGCTACCTCTGGTGCACCCGTTGGTGATGACTATTACAGATGTTAGGGCAGGGCAGAGGGGAGCCAGACCTGGTCCTGGACCTCACCTCCCACACGGCACTCCACCTCCCACACGGAACCTGGAGGAAGCTGCTGGAAACCTGGGCTATTCATAGTTGCCCTGTAAGACAGCCAGCACTTGTGTCAACTCACCCCTCACCCACATGGGGTGACGATGCGACTCCTGTTTGGCCACACAGCCAGGAGGTGGAAGGTTATCTTGGGAGAGGGGATGGTGACATCAAGTCAAGTTAGGCCTCCCACGTCTTTGCAGGCTGCGTTTCGGAGGACAATGGGTTAGAAGAATGGAAAGTGATGTACTAGCCAAGAATAGAGCAAGAGTTTGGCCTCCTCAAGCAAGGAAGAAAATGATGTCACATCCTGCTTCAAATAATACACAGCTTCCCTGGATACCTTGCTTTGCTACCTTTTTTTTTTTTTTTTTAATCTGAAAGGCAGAGGCAGATCTTCCATCTGCTGCTTTGCTCCTCCACGGCCTGCAACAGCTGGGGTGAGCAGTGGGGAGGCGGCATCAGGGGCCAGCAGCCCCCCTCTCCCTTCCTGTGCCCCCCTCTGCTAAGTCACTTACTCATTTAACTCATGGAACCCTCCAAAGTGCTGGGCACTTTTCTCTGAGCCCTGGGAAAGCAGCACAGAGCCCGGGCACCTGCCCTTCGTCTGAGTCTGTCCTTCTTACTCCTGGAGCAGTGACCTCCGGTCAACTTTTGTGTCTTACTCCAGTGACTTGAGTGGTTTCTGCAGTCTTTGGCCACCTCCTGGAATGGAGTGGTCCGTGCCAGGATCATAACATGATTTCTTCTTTTAATATTTTATTTTTATTGGAAAAGCAGATATACAGAGAGGAGAGAGGAACAGCATCCATCACTGACTCATTCCCCCTGAACACGATGGCCGGGGCCTGAGCCAAAGCAAAGCTAAGATGTTGGAATCTCTTCTGGGTCTCCTATACAGGTGCAGGGTCCCATGGCTTCCACTGCTTTCCCAGGCCACAAACAGGGGGCTGGATGGCAAATGGGGCAGCCAGGATTAGAACTGGCACCCATATGGGATCCCAGCATGTGCAAGGCAAGGACTTTAGCCACTAGGCCACTGCACCAGGCCCTAACATTAAAGAAATGGGGCTGTAACCAACCAGCCTCCCTCGGGAGGTATACAGTAACCCCAACTGGTTCCATCTCCCTGGTTCTGAATATTCCCTGCAGCGCTTGGGTTTGTCATGTTGTCCACTGGCTCAAAGGCATACAACACAGAAGGTGGACTGAGGGGTCCACAACTCGTAGTTCCCTGGTCTGACCAACGCAGAGCTGAGCATAGCAGAGGCTTAAAGGACTCCTATGGGGCCCAGCCCAGCGCACTGGCTTAGTTGATTAATCCTCAACCTTAGTTAAGTGCTGAGATCCCACGTGGGTGCAAGTTCATGTCCTGGCTGCTTCACTTCCCAGCACCCTGCCTGTGGTCTGGGAAAGCAGCAGAGGATAGCTTAAAACCATTGGGTCCCTGCACCCACAGGAGACCTGAAAGAAGCTGGATGGAAATCTCTCCTCTGTAAATCTGCCTTTCCAAACACGCGGCCAGCAGTCAGTGGTAGAAGCCAGGTGGCATTGGAGCTCCACTGAGTCTACAATGGGACTGGATATGTGAATCTTTCCTTTACAATGGCTAGTGCAGCCAGTGTCCATCAAAACAGGGTGTCACAGAGACCCAATGATAAAGCAGACAGGGCACTTCAGCATCCCACACTATTGAGCAACTGTTGCTACGTTCCTAGTCCCACCCACCACTGGTTGGCAGCACCCACCTGGGTAGTAGTGGTGCCTGGCTCAGGGTTGAGCCATCTTGGAGGTGATGAAATAAAGGGACTATGTGGGTGCCAGGTTTGGAGACTCCCATCCACTGGCCTGAGGTAATTTAGTATGGATTCTGGAAATAGTGCCCAGACTGGTCTGCACTGTGGACACCAACAGGGGCTTCCATCCTGCAAGTCCTGACAGATGTTCCCTTCCTTGCTGCCTCCCAGCCACTGCCCTCAGCGAGAGGCCAGGGGCAGTTCAGAGAACCCAAGATGTCCTCCACTTGAGAGCAGCTGGAGGGTAGTCCCAGAGCAAGGCTCCCCGTGACAATGGGGACAATGCCAACTTCTTAAAACCAAAAATCCCAAAATACCTCCCACCTCTACCTTTGAAGAACCAATGCTCAAAATGGAAAAGACCAATTCCACTCAAACAGTATTTTTCATGAATGGAATTCAGCCAAACCTAGCAGCACCAGCTGAACTTCCCCTTCCAGACCCTACGACCGACGGGAGGTCAAAGATGGATGTCCCAGACACCCCGGAGGGACCCAAAGCACAGACAGAAAACTAAAGCTCTTCATTTTCGCAGTTTTTAATCAAAGTTGTGCATATGGCCACTTTACTCCTGCATCTTCTCGATCGTTTCTTCCTTGTATTTGCCCTTCTCCTTTCCTACTTGCCGGGACTTGGCTTTTCGCTCCAGGATCTTCTTCCGGTCTTTGTCCAGTTTTAGCCTAGTGATGACCACCTGCAGGGAAACAAAACATAAAGACCACTGTTCAAGCTCGTTTCAAAGCTCTGGGCAACGTGAAAAGCAAAGGCCAGGTGGCCTCTCAGGGAGTCTTCTCACTGCCTCTCCTTGGGCTCAAGTCACTTCTACCATGAGCAATGAAGCCCCCAAGCCTATATGGAAGTTACAGCACAGATCTCACAACAGAGCTATATACCTAAAGAACCAGACAGAGGAAGGTGAAGAGAGGCGAAGAGGCACTAGAAATACAAAATGCAAGCCCCAACCCCCTACAGCCCATGGCTTATGTCTTAGTCCTGGGAGAAAGTACATGGTATTTTGCTTTGACAGGGTAAGGGGGGCAGGCAGTCGGCCCAGAGGGAGGTGAGGATGATCTCACTCCGGGGTGCCTGGGTTTGCTTCCCAGCTCTGGCCTCTGCTGCGGCCTGCCAATACAGACCCTGGGAGGTGGTGGCATCGGCTCAAATTACTAGGTTCTGCCACCCTCACGGGAGAGCTGGATTGTGTCAGAGCTCTTGGCTTCAGCCTGGTCAGCCACTACCATTGTGGGCAACTCTGGTAACGAAAGGGATGGGAGCTGTTGTTCAAAAAACAGTGGCAGATGGAGGGAGGCAACTAAGACTACAAAGTACAAGTGTCCCCACGTCAAAGAGCCACAGGCAGGAGCGAGTGGCCCTTTATCCTAGAGTATCTGAGAATCAATCAGAATGCCCGTTAAAATAACCCCCGTGTCCCAATCCTCAATTCTGCCTCATTAAGCCTGGAAACTTGAATCTGCAATTTTAAAGTTGCCAGGTGATGTTACAAAGCAGGATTAGATACGGAGTAGCACGATGCAGAACAACAGAGACCAACAGAAGAGAACACAACAGTGGAAAACAGACGTCAGCCAGTGGCTGGTGAAGGGACCAGTGAAGTCTTAGAGGCCACCTGCCTACAGTCCCAAGACTGCAATGAGAAATGAGGACTACTTGGCCAACCCAGACGGGTAGACTGGGAACACTGCTGACAGCTAATGACGGAGGGGCCGCAAGGACTGGAGCCCAGTGTCACTACCCTTCACCAGCACAAGGTCAACACCAACAGAGGTCAAGACTGAGTACAGAAACTCACTTTCATTTTATATTTCTGTCTACGTCCTCCTAACTCTAGGATCTGTGAGATATCAGACCGTCAATCCATCAGCCTTCTGATAGTTTTGAGAGCTACCTGAAGTACACACCGTCTTAATACAAGGACGGCTATACCACCCTGCTTCCAGAGACCTGTCAGGTGCTACCAGAACTTGCAAAGCCAGAGCTGGCCTTCCCCACACGGGTACCAGCACATGTAAGAGCAGGGACTCTTGCCAGCCGCACGCCCAGCCCGCGCACCTTGCTGGGGTGGATGCCCACATGGACGGTGGTGCCGTTGGCCTTCTCGCGCTGCACCCGCTCGATGTAGATGACGTACTTCTTCCGGTACACCTGGACCACCTTGCCGATCTGCTGCCCTTTGTAGTGTCCTCGCACGACCTGAGGAGAGTCAGCCAGGACATTGGTCAGCTGGGACATCCTTTTAGGCAAAGCAACCCACCCTCTGCCAGGGGCCTGAACAGTAACGCTCACGCACCTGCACCTCGTCGTCCTTGCGGATGGGCATGGAGCGCACGTTGTACTTCTGCCGCAGCTCTTTGGAAAGAGGCGAGGACATGATCTTCCTGCGCACGTGCGAGGGGGCATTGAAATGCCTTTTCCGGTTCTTGCTCCGGTCGGAGGTCACGAAGGGATTGAACTTCATCTTGGCTAAACGAAAAAAATCAACCCTCAAAAGGGGCAAAATCTCACAAGTTTTCCAGGCAGACAACAGCGGTGACTTCCCCTAGGAACTCGAGAACTCCAGCCCATCAACTTAGCTTGAAACGTACTTATGTTTTCAGAAGGCAGATTTAGAGGAAAGAAGAGCCAGGAGGCACCCCCTCCCACGCGGGCGCAGGATCCCGAGGCTTTGGGCCGTCCTCGACTGCTTTCCCGGGCCTCAAGCAGGGAGCTGGATGGGAAGTGGGGCCGCCGGGATTCGAACAGGCGCCCACAACGGGATGGAGCATTTAGCTAACTGGGCCCTCAAGCCGGGCTCCGGGACATGAGGTTCTGGAAGGATCAACGTTCCCTCCCGTCCCCCACCTGAAAAGCCCTGCCCAGGTCTCCGCGATCAGAGAACGCAGAGGGAAACGCGTCCGCGGAGCCTCCCCCTGCACAGGTCCCCGAGCCCCGCACTAACGACAGGGCAGAAACCCTGCCGAAACCCCGTCCCCGGCTGCTCTCCGGCCGCCGCGAGGCTCTCGGGCCACCCGGATCGGGCCGGGGCCGCGCGCTCGCACGGATGACCGCGGATTGACCATCGCCTCCCGGGGACACACTCACCCGCCTGCCGAGCCGCCGACCAAGGCAAAATGGGAGAGGGCCGCTCGCCACTTCCGGCTCCGTAAGTCAACGAGCGTTCTCGCGAGATCCACGTCTTCTCCTGCGGCGCGTCAGAGGCGCAGGGTGGAAAATCTACTGCTGCCATCGCATGGCCCGGAGGAGGGATTGCAAGCGACTGCCGCCAGCCAGTCTTTTCCCTCCCCGGAGCTGTGGGTGCTGGGGTGCTGCTGCCCTTTGGGACCTCTGGGAAGGATCGTCGCCGAGCCACTGCCGCTTCCGTCCTTCCACTCGTGGGTGCCCCGCGGCTGGCAGCCCCTCAGCCGGGAGCCACAGCTTTGCCTCCAGGTGGCACTGTGACCCCGACTGCCTGGTCCCAGGGGTTACCCTGCATCCCACCTGCCCTTCGGGGCGGCTGCAAACGTGCGGGTCCTTTTCACACGCCCCAGCCTCCGCCCCTGCGCCCTGGAGTCCACCCGAGATTCTCGGGGCCGGGCATCACCTGTCTCCCCCAGTGCACTTGGTAGGAATGGATCTGGAGCGACGTTGCTATGCGACGCCTCGGTGACGCCCTGGCCTGGCCGGCGTGGAGAGGGGGTATTCTCGCCGGTTGTTGTTCAGCTGGGAATCTGATGGTTGCAAGGAAAAGAGGGCCACCCCTTGCAGAAGGCAGATGGGGGTGCTGCGATGGGCTGCGGTGCAGCGACGGGCGTCGGTTTGTGTAGAACGAATGACCCGGGTGTAGACACTTAGACGCGGTGAGCTGGGAACAAAGATCCACCACCCCACGGATGCTGGTGCTTTTTCATCATTGGAAGAAAACAAAAACAAAAACCCTCAGTTCATCTGCTTGCAAAGCGTTTGGTGGAGGGCTTCCACATTCCAGCCCTGAGCTAGGTAGCTGCTAACTAGCTAAGTCCCAGGTCGTGTTTGCTGGAGGCGCTGTCCTAGAGGAGGGAGAGAGATGACCGAATAGAGGCCGGCCATGTGGTACTGCACGTTAAACCACCGCAAGTGACGCTGGCATCCCATAGGGCCCCTTGGTGTGGGGCCCCTGATTACTCCATTTCTGACCCAGCTTCCTGCTAAAAGCACCTGAGAGAGCAGCAGAAGATGGCCCAAGTGCTTGGGCCCCTGCCACCCTCATGGGAGGCCTGGGTGGGGTTCCAGACTCCTCCTGTCCCACCCCTGGCTATTTGGAGAGTGAGCCAACGGAGGACAGCTCTCTCTTTTCCTGCTTCTCCCTAATAAATAAAAGAAAAGCCTGCCATCCAGGGCCCCCAGGAGAGTTGCTCTGGGCTGCTCCCCTGGGTGTTGCTTCTGGAGAGGGCTCTGGGGTGAGGGCTGGGTTCCCTGGGCAGGGCAGGGTCACTGCCCTTGGAAGAGTGTCCAGGTGAGGTGGTGAGAATAGCTGGAGGGCAGAGACAGCTGGGCTGAGCTAATCCTGCCTGCTGGACGCTCTAGGCTCCCACCCTCCAACTTACTCTACCTTTCCCCTCGGGTCCTCATGGTCCCGCCCACTTCTCCCACACCTGAACTTGTGTAGTTTCCATCACCTCGTCTTTTCCCACAAGGCCTCTCTGTCCTCAGCTGCCATCTTCCTCTGCAGTCACCTTGCCCTGGCCGGCTCCCTGTCACAGCTTGTCCTCTCCGGCCCACAGAAGTGTTAGAATGAACCCTTACGCCTACTTTATGCAGTGGGTTGAAGCCTACTTGTCCTGACCAGTGTCTACTGGTTGCCTAAGCTATATACCCTGCAGGTTCCTCTGCTGCACAACCTGGCTGCCCTCTCACTCCCTCTGTCTCCACATTCCTCTTATGGCATGTAGAAAAAGTTCCTTTAAAAAAATAATAATATGGGGCCCGGCGCGGTGGCGCAAGTGGTTAAGTCCTCGCCTTGCACGCCCGGGATCCCATATGGGCGCCGGTTCTAATCCCGGCAGCCCCGCTTCCCTTCCAGCTCCCTGCCTGTGGCCCGGGAAAAGCAGTTGAGGACGGCCCAAGGCTTCGGCCTGGCTTCGGATCGGCATAGTATCGGCCCGTTGCGCGCACTCACTTGGGGAGTGAATCATCGGACAGAAGATCTTCCTCTCTGTCTCTCCTATCTGTATATCTGCCTTTCCAATAAATAAGTAATAAAAATACATCTTAAAAAAATAATACATTGATGGGCTCGGTGAAATAGCGTAGCGCTTAAAGTCCTCATCTTGAATGCGCCGAGATCCCATATGAGCGTAGGTTCTGATCCTGGTGGCCCTGCTTCCCATCCAGCTCCCTGCCTGTGGTCTGGGAAAGCAGTTGAGGATGGCCCAAAGCCTTGGGATCCTGCACCTGCATGGGAGACCTGGAAGAGGTTCTTGAAAGTGATACTCATTTGGGATCCCAGTGGTGGCAAGTGAGGATTTAGCGATTGTGCTGGGTCCTGGAAGTCTTCCCTTTTTATTCTTATTTTCTTTTTTCTTTTGTTTTGTTTTGTTTTGCTTTGTTTTAGAGCTTCATAACAGTCCCTAGACTTTAAATGCCCCACTCCCTACCAGTGGACAGGTAGGGGCTTCTCTGTGCTTTGTCACTGCCAGAATCACTCAAGTTCTCTTAACAGTGTACAAACATCACTGTTCACCTGCAAGGGTCTGCAAGGAGCGTTTCTGGTAAAGGAATTGTGGGGCCAACGTGGAATTCCTTGATGGAGAATCTGCCCTGTACATTCCTGCCGACAGCTGACTTACCTCCTTCCATCTTCCTGCAGTGTGGGTTTCAAAATTTCAAACTCCAAGGTGGCTGACATTTTTTTTTTGTCAGATTCTTAATTTGTATTTCCCTCTTACATGCGGCATAAGGAAGGTTAGGCCATTTCTGTTCCCAAACCGGCCTTTTTCATCTGCAGTGAATTATCCTAAAGAATGAAAAACTCAGAACCTCCCGACATGCATTGCTAAGTTTCTGGAATCTTTGAGAAAATAGAGATGTTTATTTAAAAAATTCATTCTTGACATTCTTTGAAAATACAAGAAGTACCCATCTTTAAGTCATTGTTGAACAATATGAAAATACTGCAGCAAACATAACCAAATCGGAAAAGACTAGAATCAGGACCCCGGCAGTTCACAGCACTGCCTGAAACAGCTTGGCTAAGGTTAAGACAGACTCGCTCAAGTCTTTGTAAGGTTAATGTTTTTATTCCTCTAACAAATATCCCCCACCCCCTCGTGGAGCCCAGCTCTGTCCCCTTGTCTTCCCTAGTACCTGTGCTGTTCTCCAAGACTGGAAAAGAGCCTAAGAGCCTTTCCCGGGACCCAAATATCCCCAGGAACGTGGACCTCATGGCCGCCACCAGCAGAGGCACAGGGGAACCAGGGAATATTTAGCAGAGGGGGTAGTTCCCTCGGCAGAGGGGACAACAGGTGCTTGCATGCCTGGGAGACGGACCACCAGCTATGTGCAAGCTGGAAGATGTCACTGCTCTCCACTTGCAGGCCTTCGGGGACTGGCTCTGTAACTATTCTCAAATGACCCACTCTTGCTGTGAATGAGGCCCTGGCCTGCAGCTGACAGTGTTGGGGTTGTGTTTTGTGGAAGCAGCAGCATCCCTGACAGCTTTTCTTTTCTTTCTCACCTGCCTCACCCAGCCCAGCTGGAGAATCCACTCAAGAAACTGGCCCAGCTGGTGTGGCCTCTAATGAGTGGTTGGGTCACAGGGAGGGAGGCAGAGCCCCCAGGGATTCATTTGCCTACATAGCTCTCAGCTGACTCAAGTCTCACCTGTCAGATGGGTGGTGTCCCCTCCCCTCTCCTCCTGTCTGTCGCGAAGAATCCACAACTCCACATCTGGATCTCGCCTTGGGCCTGGGAAAGTCTAGGAGGAGCACTGGTTCTGTCTGTGGGCCGTCTCTGCCGCCTCCCGGCCTCTGCTAATGTGCCCCGGTGTGGCCTTGGCTCTTCACCAACACACTTTCCCACTGCCCTTCCCCAGAGACCCCCAACCACAGCCTCGCCCTGGCTTTTCTCCAGTAAAGGCCTTCAGGGCTGGCAAGATGGGGACACGGAGAACCATGTGCTTGGACCCCTGCACTGCCACTCTGCTTGTCTCCTTCTCAGATTATCCCTGAGAGCAAGCAGGCACACCTCCATGGCAGTCCCACCTCCATGCCTTCTCTGCCCACTCTGCCTTCTCTGTGCACTCCTGTCCACCCCCTCAGAACTTTCTTGTGCTGGGTCTGCTGGAGAACCCCTCAGCTCCCCTCCCCAGCAGCATCCAGCCCAGCCTCAGAACCAGCATTTTCCAGGGAAGCTCTCAGGTTGGTCTGGCTCGGCTGCCCCTTGCAGGTGCCACCGCTCATGCCTGCTTCCTTACCAGCAGTACCCAGGGCAGGATGGCTGCCACCACAGCCACCACAGCGATGAGGGTGATGAGTAGGAGGGCCCGCGAGCGGCAGCAGAAAGAGCGGGTAGAGCTGGGTGCAGGGGAGGCCTCGGAGAGCTCAGCCAGGCTGCGCCGTGGCAGTACACTGTCCTGCTCTCCCAGAGGCATCCCGTGGCGACTGATGACAAAGATCTGTGACTCCCGAGGCAGGCTGGGAAGCAGGTCCAACGGAAGCTGGGTACCCTGAGCCGGGCTGCCCGGCAGCCTCCCTTGGCTAGGGTTTTGTCTCCAGACCGGCTGGGAGATAGCGAGGGGGTTCGTGTGGCCCAGGCTGTCAGGTGGGAGCACGGCGGGCAGGCCCATGGGCACAGCCAGGGTCTGTGAACTCTTGTCCAGCATGGAGGGCCAGCGCGAGCTCTTCTTGCTGAGGAAGGTAACGTAGCGGCAGATGGGGCAGACGATGGTCCTCTGCACCTGCCCGTCCACCCGGGTGGACAGCAGGTACTTGACAAGGCAGTCATGACAGAACACGTGGCCACAACTCAGGGTCCGGCTGGCGCCGTCCAGGTCCCGGAACTTCTCGTAGCACACGGGGCACTCGCTGCCCGAGCTGTCCTTGCTCTCCCCTTCTGACATGGCTGCTCGGAGAAGGCAGGACTTAGCTGGGGGAGGGGCAGGGCAGGGTGGGGAAGGGTCATGAACCTCTGGCTTTTCCCAGCCATCCCACCCCCTTCCTATCTCCCATCTCCGCCTCTTTTATCCCTTCTCTTGGTCACAGTCTCGTTTGCCTCATGCTCTTTGCTTTTCTGCTGCCCCTCTTCAGTGGCTGAACAAAAACCAAGACCCAAGACCCAGAGCCCAAGCAAGGCCTTTAAAGAGGAGCTGAGCAGGTGCTTCTAGGAGGCGCATACCAAGAGACCCTGGCCAATGGACTGAGAAAGAGGCGTGGGCGGTGCAGGAGGATTCCTGCAGGACCTGATGCCTCACCTCAGCTATGACTGGCCCTCCAGGGTGAGGTCATCACTTCACCTTTTCCCAGTTCCATCCTGGAAATGAAGACAGGAAACCCCAGTTCCCAGGGCAAGCAGGTGCCTGAGAAGACCCGTGCTCAGCTTTGGCCAAGTCTCCAGCCAGAGTGAGCATTCCCCCAGAAAAGCCCCAGCTAGCTGCTGCTTCAGTCCCAGCCTCAGTAGGGACTGGCTAACCCACTGGGTCTTGTCCAGCTGTTGGACTGCGTGCCTCTGTACTAAGTGTGGCTATAAAGCAGTGACTGTTTTGAAAATTAAAGCTCAGAACTTACACATCCAAGTGCCTGCTGGCCCTCCGGGTGGTGAAGTCAGGAAGCTGTGGGCTCATTCCTCCACCCACCGCAGCTCAGTCATTCCTCAGATTCTTCTTATGGGGCTGCCTGGGGCAGTGAGAGAACCTTCTGGTTAACCTTGGGGGATAGGTCTGATCCATTGGAAATGGTCAGAAGTCACCGGGAGAGCCAAGTCTGGGGAGTTAGATAAAGGAGTGATTGTGTGGCATGAGGCTGTTTGAAATCAAAGACACAGTTTGACTCGAAAGGAACAAAAAGGAGTGGCCCCGAAGATGTTCTCAGCAGAGCTGTGGAGTGAAGTGCCTGGCTTTAAGGGGAAACACCTGCTTGGCTATGTAGTAAAGTCTTCATGTAGAAGTTCCCTGTAGAATCTAATTTACACAGAACTTTCCTAAAGAGGCAGGCTACCTTAATGATATATTCTTCCATCAACACCAGAGGCAAAAGGCTGCAGGATGCACCGACAAACATGCAAGAGTATGTCAAAAAGTTTGTGAGAAAATAGAATTAAGGGGCCAGGATTGTGGTGTAAGTGGTTAAAGCTGCAGCCTATGATACCAGCATCCCATACGGACGCAGGTTCCTGTCCCAGCTACTCCATTTCTAGTCCGGCTCCCTGCTAACATCCTGGAAAAAGCAGTAGTAGATGGCCCAGGTGTTTGGGCCTCTGCAACTCACATGGGAGACCCAGATGAAGCTCCGGGCTTCTGGCTTCAGTTTGGGTCAGCTTTGGGGAGTGAACCAATGATGAAAGATCTCTGTAACTCTGACTTTCAAATAAAGAAAGAAATCCTTAAAAATTATATTGAAAATTGAGTTAAGAGAAAAGTCTATATTTTTTTTTTAAAAAAGGAGATCTTTACAGTCTTTCTCAAATTTTCAAATATCCCTAGTATGCATGAACTTCAGAATCTTCTTGTACCAAAATAAACCAACCTGTATTTTATTAATGTTTTTTATTCTGTATTTTATTAATGTTTTGGACTGTCCCTATAGAATTGTATGGCAACTCCAGAACTGAGAAATGATGCTATGCAAACAAGCTTACTTATAGGGGGCGAGCAAAGCAGGTTAAACGCCTCCTGCAATGCTGGCTTCTCACATGACTGCTAGTTCGGGTCCCAGCTGGTCCACTTCTGCTCCAGTTCCCTGCTAATGTGCCTGAGAAAGCAGCAGAGGATGGCCCAAGTGCTTGGGCCTCTGCCACCCATGTGTGAGACCTGGCAGAAACTCTTCTGTCCTGGTTGTTGGGACCATGGAGGGGAGTGATCCAGCAGCTGCCACATCTTTGTCTCTCTCTTACTGGAACTCTGCCTTTCCAGTAAATACATCAATCTTTAGGGAGAAAAGAAAAGCAGTTCATAGGAAGAACAGACTACAAAGATAATACATCTTTTTTTGGAATATCTGCTTCCTTCCAGATCCTTTTTTTTTCTCTCTCCAGGTTGAAAATACCCTATAACAACAACAACAACAACAACAAAAAGAGCAAAATATCCATAGAGGTAAAGGAGGTAGGAGACCCTGGAGGCAGTGGGTGCTGGTTTAAGTCTCTGAGGTTGTCAGTGTGGTCCCCAGGTCTGGAGGAGAAGCAGGTGCTCATGCTTTGGACCTGGGTGTCTCATCCTTGCTACACCCATCAACCGTCTGTGACCTCCACCTGGTTGTTTGACCTCTGTCTATTACATGAGACTGATAAGAGTAGACCTACTTCCTCTCTGAGCTGCAGGGAGGAGGACAGGGGGGACAGTGTAGGTGAGCCAAAGCCAGCCAGGAATCTGCCTTGCCCCTAAGTACTCAGTGAATACAAGGTGTCACTGTGAGGACAGGCAGTCCCCTCTCATCTCCCAGAGGGGGCTTGGCAACCCCTGCCCTGTCTCTTGAGGCAGCCATACCCCCGCCTTGCTCTCCTCCCTTGTTGCCCTCAGATGTTTTTGACTTCCTGGACGACTAAAAAGTTCAGATCACTTAGTCAGTGGATCAAAAATGAAAGGTTGTTTCAGGGGTTCTCGGCAGTTTTCACAGCTCACACGTGCAACTGCAACTGTTACCATCAGGATGGCCACGATTTTCTTCAATCAGTTACCAATCTGTCCTTCTGCAGTTTGTAACTTCTGCAGGTGTGTGGTGGCAAATCTGTCCCTCCCCCACAACCATCCCTCATCCATCCAATTACTTAACAGGAACCTGCTACAAGCTACATGCTAGGCTCTGAGCTAATCGATGCATTGGGACTAAGCAGTGCTTGAGCAAGTCCTGCATGAGATTTTTAGAGCCCTGGAGGGTCTAAGTTTTCCTGGAAAAGAGGTCTTTTAAAAAGAATGATAGATCAATAGCTTAGATTGTGTGGATAGCAGACAAGTAGGACTGAAGGTAGGCAGGAGGACGAGAGGGAAAAAGAGGAGTGTCGTGGTGCTTTTTCAACTCCCCCCCAGGTGTGCAGATGAACACAGAGGGTATGATTTGCTGCTCATCCAAGTTCAAGAGAAAGGAAAGGGAATCCAGAGAGTGCAGGAGACATCCTTGGTCCCTGCTGAGAGGGCCACTCTGGGTGATGCGTCAGCCATACCGGGCAGTGCAACCTGCCTCCCCCTCCTTCCTCTTGTCCTCTGCACTCACTGGTCCTCCAACCTCTCTTTTTTCTCTTAGTGCCTGGCATTCATTTCTCCATCCTCGTGTTCCTCAGTTGGGCTTATCTCTGTCTTGGGCACTGGTGTGTGGGAGAGGGCAGCAGTTTGGGTGCAGACTGGTCCAAGAACGATGCCAGGTATGGTACCCGAGGAGCCTGGGGAGGGTCGGGGGGGGGAAGTGGTGGAGGGGGATGGGAACGTCCTGGGTGAGCCATGACCAGGGCTGTGCTAATCATAAATAATTACCACAGCGGCCATTTATTGAACACTAATTACGTGCTTGGCATTTCGCATCCCTTCCTTGGTGACTCCTGACAACACCCTGGGGAGGTAGATATTATCTCCCTGTGGCAGGTGAGGGAGCTGAGGCATGGGGCTTCTAAATTAAAATCACACGGCTAAGGAATAGACCCGGGGTTCGAACCCTGGTCAGCCTGTCCACACAGCCCAGGCTCACTATCCTTCACCTCCACAGGCGGGGCTCAAACAAGTTAGGAAGAAACTGGATGGAAAAGTGTGACCATAGGCTTCTCTTCTTGGAGTGACCCTAACTAAGCAGGGCTATCCCTCTGACTGCCTGCAGGGCAGGGGCAAGACCACGGCTGGCCCAAGGGAGCAGACCTCGCGGAGCCCAAGTGGCCAGCCTTGCCCGTGACAGCAGTGCATTTCAAGAATAGGGGTGGTGCTGGTGCAGGGGATGCCACCAGCCTCTCGGGGACAGTGAGCCTTATGGAACACAAAAGACACTTCTAGGAGCTAGAGTTCCCTCCCAGAACGCCAGCGCAAAGCCCTGTAACTTCAGCTTGGATTACTTCCCCGCCCATAGACACTACTCATATTCTCTCTCTCTCTCTCTCTCTCTCTCTCTCTCTCTCTCTCTCACACACACACACACCTGCATCATCTCCACTTCAGTTCGGAACATTGCCAAGCTCCCGCCTCTCTCCCCTCCCTCTGTACAACCCTAGCCAGGCCCCTGAACTCACCTGGGGCCGGGATCCCCCCGTTGCTGGAGAGCAGAGTCTGCCTTCTTCTCCACCGCGAGGAGGGCTGCTGGGTTGCTGATCAGACGCAGCCAGAGGTGCTGCGCAGGCAGCTCGACCTCCTCCCACTGCTGTCAGTGCCCCGGCTGCCCTGGCATTTCCTAATGACTGAGCTGTGGTGCCGGACAGCGCCGGGAAGTGAATGCTGCCCAACCCGTTTTAGGCCAGGAGGCTCTTGGCGTTGCCCAGGGGTTTGGCAGCTGCTTTAGTCATGTGACCTTGATGAGGATGCTAGGAGCTGGGAACCCCTGGTTGGAGGAATACTCAGGGCATTTGTAGTGGTGGTTGTGGGTGCGAGGGGGTGCCTGAGAGATCCCAAGGGTCTCACAACGGAGGGAGTGCCCCCAGGCAATGCCCCACGAGGTTCCCCAGACTGGGTCTCCCCATCCCCACATTAGACAAGATGCACACCGGTGGTCCTTCTCACGCCCGGTCCCATCTTCTTCTCCCCCAAATCCCTGTATTTCCACTCTGAGTACAGGTGCAGGAGCCAGGAAGGGTGTGACACCCAAGGCCATGTCTTAACCCATGTGAGGTGGCCCTGTGCACGTGTGTCATACACATCAAACATGCCAAGAGGCTCTGAGCCTGAAAGACCAAGCACTGTGGGCACAGACTGGCACTCCCTAAGTGACCGCAACG